AAAACATGGACAATAAATTTAATGAAAATTAGAAATGTAGCCTTGGCAACTAACTGGAATGAGTTTAAGTTGAATTACTAAAATAACTAAATCTGAAATAGTAAATTGAAACAAATGAACAACTGAGCTAATGACTGAATGAGTTTGTGAATTACAGGAGATCATGAGGTAATCTCCACAGCTGTCTGAGTCGTGCTCAGGGTCCCTCCCCTCCGTCATCTCTGCCATGGCAACGCCGTCCTCCTCTTCCTCCTCACCCTCCAGTGACATCACACAGGTCTCCACGGCAACACCCTCGTCATCATCGCAGTGCACGTACTCAGCAACCACGTCCTCCACTGCGTCCTGGATGACGAGCTCGTCGGAGGAGAAGCCCTGGACGGACGCGGCCTCGCCCTCCACCTCCGACACCAGCACCGTCTCCTGCAGCTCCACCACGTACTCCTCCTCCTCCCCTGCGCCTCCCTCGTCTGCAACAACACACCAAACTACTGCTCAACTGCTCAAATGAGTCTGATCGCTCGTCTACAGTTCATAATGACCAATCCAAACAGACCACTGCTCACTAGAGTTCAACTATATAGATATATAGCTACTGTTTCATATCGGCTTTTTGACACTGTAATAAAAACATTAGACAACACTAAAAACATACATCATGAATGTTACATAATAATTATTATTATCCATAATTATATATACACACACACACACACACACACATATATATATATATCATACAAAGCTTATTTCTAATTATAATTTATTATGATTATATTATAAAAATATATATTTTAAAGTAATATTTTTAATATATTTTGTTGCCCATTGTGTCATTTCATATATTTTTTATGTTAATAATAATAATTATTATTATACATAAGTAAATATAAATTAAATGAGTAATACATATAAATGTATATTTATATTTACATATTTTTAAAATTATAATTATATGATTTTTTACATGACACATAATAGCATTACATTTACATTCACATATTTTTAGTTATAATTAAATTATAAAAAATATAATATTTTTAATATATTTTGCTGTGTGTTGTGGCATTCAATATATTTGTAATTGTAATACATATATATATATATAAATACATTAATTCATTTTTATCATTCTATATTTTTCATTATAATTACAGAACTTTATGTAAAAAGCATTTTTTCATTAAAATAGATTATAATTTATAATTATACATTATAAAAACATATGAGTAATTTAATATTTTTAGATCTTTTTGTTGTGTTGTCGCATTTTTATATATTTGTAATTTTAATAATAATAATTATTATTATTTATATTTAAATATTAGTTATAATACATTATAATAATACATAATTTTTCATTTAATTATATAAAATGCCATAATTAATTTTTACTACATAAAATAGTATCTTTAGTATAGTATCTTATTTTAATAATAATTCTATATTATTAAAAGCTATCTTTTTATTTAAATTGATTATTTATTCATATTCACATGCCTCATGTGCCATACATGTATGGTAGTGTATTCCTAAAAGTACAAATAAAATAAGTATTCTAATACAATAATACAAATTTAAACTTTACTTTTTTCCCCTGCTGTGATCAAAAATACTGTTTTGTCCAATCAAATACTCTCTAGAATAAGAATAACACAACATTGGCATTAAGTGCGACAGACAAATGATTGAGCAAGCATCTCTACTACCTGAGCCATGCAGTATAATCTTTGGCTCTTGGGAACGGAGAGCAAGCCTTGTCACCTCCTCATTCATCGTCTTTATTCTTCATTGGCCACGGCACAACTAACACAACAACACAAACAATTCATCTGGAATGTCTGCTACAGAAGAAAAGAGTTAAACACTCATTTATAGCAGAATTACTCTCTCATAAAAAAGTAAACAGAGAATAAGGCTTTCATAGCTTTAGGACAAGGGGGATCATAACAATGTGACAGGCTTCAAGAACTAGGCTAGTTGCCAATGTAAACATGCAATAGGTTTGAATTGCATATAGACAGACAGGCGTGCATGCATGCACAGAGAGACAGATAAATATGAAAGCAGGTAGGCAGACTTATGAATATGCCACTAATAAATATGAACAAATTATTAACGGACGTGCATGTTTCTTTAATTTGCAAATGACTGCGACAAGAAGAGCGACTGGAAATTAAACATGAGCACCAATAAGCGGTAGTGCATTTTATAAAATGATGCAATGCATCTTTAAACGCGACGCAAAACGCATTAAATGCTTCGTGCACGACAGGAAACACTCGAAGCTTCGTGCATTTGAGAAGAATGTGTGCAGCAGCGCGCGCCGAAGCTTCGCACCCCCCGAGCGCTGAAGGTTTCCTCGCATTTCAGCGCCTGAAACCGGACATACACATGGCGCCTTGTGACCATAACGTCCCCCTTCCACTTAAAACAAAACCTGCCTGCGTGCGCCATTTTGAGCCATAATAAATCACGCGTTTTGTTCCCACGCACGCACGCATGCATGCGAGTACGCGTACTTTGCTTTAAAACAAAGGGGCGTTAGGTTTCGCGCTCCTGCGCGGGCATTTATAAACAATAACCCGATGCTCAAGGCCCGATCGCGGCCTGCGTAAGGCCCGGGGCCCGGCGGCCAATCCGAGGCCTCGCGTCTCCAGCCGCAACATAATGCAACAAAACGTGCAATATCAGCGCATAAAGCTGGCGTGGCGTGGGATGAAACCCGCGCGGTCCGATTCGTCGCCATCGGTGCGCTTACCATAGATCAACGCGCGGGGCGGCCTCCAGATTTTCCCCGGGCAGGCAGGCCGTCGGATTCCCCCAGACTCGGGCAGGGCTGGATCGGGAGTTAGCGGGCGCTGGGCGGGCCGCGCAGTGCGCAGAGAGGGCGGAGCTCCGCAGACAGACACTGCGCAGAGCCGCAGGAGAACGCGGAAGGCCGAAGAGCAACATTCACCCGGCGAAAGCGAAGCTAACAACGAGCTGCTGCCCAAACGATCGAGCCAAATGCATAAGCATGTTTTAAACAAACTGTTAAACCTCGTTGACCCACGTATTAATATCAAAGATTTACGTTTTCATTGTTTTGGCCCTTAAAAGCGCCCACTGGTTGGGTCATCCCATGCACAGCCTTTTCATGTCCACATCACTGAGTCTTAATATATTAGATCAAATATTAAGCACACAGATTTGGAAGATGAAAATCATATCAGTTCCTATCAGAAATTTTTCCAATCTTTAATCTCAAATCTAAATATTTTTAGTTTTAACCCATTTTTAGTGAGAAAAGGGTATTATTTAAAATAAAAGACTTGCATGAGGCTTTTTGTCTCATGTTTAATATATTTTCTCGATCATGCATGCATATTTTCTCATTAGAATTACACAAATGAGAGTTGTTGTACAACTTTCTCATTCCGACTGCCTGAGCATCTTTTAAACTCAAACTTCATTGACTGAAGAATTAATATTAAAGATGTTTTCATTGTTTTGGCTCTTAGAAGCACTCCCACTGGTTGGGTCATCCCATGCACAGCCTTTTCATGTCCACATCACTGAGTCTTAATATATTAGATCAAATATTAAGCGCACAAATTTTAAAGATGGAAATCATATCAGTTTATTTGTCACAATATCAAAACCGAAAGTCTGGTGAGATATCCCAGGTGTTTTTCAGGCATTTTTTCCAATCTCTAATCCCAGATCAAAGTAGTTTTAACCCATATTTAGTGAGAAAAGGGTAGCCTATTATTTTAAGTATTTTATTAAGCGCACAAATTTTAAAGATGGAAATCATATCAGTTTATTTGTCACAATATCAAAATCGAAAGTCTGGCAATTAATTATGAGATATCCCAGGTGTTTTTCAGGCATTTTTTCCAATCTCTAATCCCAGATCAAAATAGTTTTAACCCATATTTAGTGAGAAAAGGGTAGCCTATTATTTTAAGTATTTTATATATATATATATTGTCCTTGCATGAGGCTTTTTGATTAATGTTTAGTAATTTCCCCATCACTATTTTCTCATTAGAATCACAAAAATGAGCGAAATTTCTCATACCGACTGCAAGTCACATCTTAAAGTATAAACTCACAAATTTTAAACATAGACATCGCATTAGTTTGTTTAATACATTATCACAACCGAAAAACTGACTTTTATTTCATTTTGTCCATTTATTCTTAGTGTTAACTCATATCATATTTAGTGAAAAAGGTTCATTGTTTTATCATCTAATCATTTATTATTTTAAATATAAGAATATTTTTTCCTTGCATTTTCATTTCATGTTTAGTTTTCTGTGCATATATGCAAACAGATAAATATGGAGGCAGAAAGACAGAAACTAATAAATCTGAAGAGATTATTAATGGATGTGCTTGTCCCTTTAATTCCCTTTAATGTGACTTGAAATGAATGCAACACACAAACTGTTGTGTATTAGGTTTGTTATATAAAATTATGCAAAACAACATCTGATCATACATGCTTGGATTGCATGTGGTGTATTTTTTTTTCATGAGAATTACAAAGATTAGTAGAAAGTTAGTACTGTACAGTACAGTACATTACATCCATTTGTTCCTGGGATGAAAGTCTTTGGAGAGTGAGATAAAGCAAGAGCCCAAATGTTCAAATACCGTCACCATATTGTTTATCAAAGTCACATTAACCCCGAACTGTAACACAAACCAAAAGTAAATTCTGCAAACACTGCTAAAAAACGAAATCTGACAATTCTCAGAATAAATGCACTACTACTTTTGTAGTATATACTGAAATGCATACTTAAATCAGAACCTCTACACTATAAAATTGTTTCTCCATTTACATGAACTCAGGTGTTTCAATGGCATCTATATCCAGTTGGTTTTGACCAGTTGCACAGGTAACATTTTAATTTTCAATGAAAATACCTCAGAATATTGCACTAGATTTTTGTGTTTACTAGAAACAAAATCAAACCTAAATCAGTGCATCTACTGGTACAAAATGTTATTTCTCCATTTAAATGAACTCAGGTGTTTCCACAGCATCTATGTTCAGTTGTTTTGACCAGTTGCACAGTTTCTCAGCCTCTTCCTCCCATTCAGACTCTTCAGTCTCAACTGATGGTAGAACTATCCTGATGTCCCGTTTCTCAGTCGTCACGTTCAGTTTCTTCATGTCGCGTGTGTTAATGCTGTCCATATGCTTCTGTTCATCTAATATCTGGAAATGGAGGGCAAACCGGATTTGGTCCCATAGAGAATTCCTATAAATCAGCATCTCATTTCATCTCATGTCATTTTTCTAATCTAAATAGTGTTTTCTGTCACCTAATAGAGTTTGTGTTCCTCTCAACTGTCACATTATCACACCTTTGTATATTTTAAGTATTAATCAGTTTTTTTTTTAATTGTTTTTAAATTGCTGGTCTATACAGTACTGGTGTTTCATTGTAACACCAAAAAATTCACTGTTAGCTTTCAGCCTGAGTTACTACATTTTTTTCTGCAGTTGGCATTAAAAGTGATGGGAAACCAAAGAAGCCTACATGTTTAGACAGATGCTAAAACTACATCTTAAAAGTGTTATAAGACGAGCCGCAGTGTTTTGAGCGCGGGCAGATTGTTGTGTATAGACCCGAGAACCTCTGTATTGTGAGAAAGAAACATCAGAATAATGATAGAGGAACAGTCCACCCAAAAATGTACTCGCCCTCAGGGCATCCAAGATGTAGATGAGTTTGTTTCTTCGTCAGATTTGGAGAAATGCAGCATTCCATCACTTGTTCACCAATGGATGCTCTGCAGTGAATGGGTGCCGTCAGAATGAGAGTCCAAACAGCTGATAAAAACATCAGAATGATGGATTTGTTTCTTACAAACATGCCGTTTTCACTTCACAGGATGTTAACTGATGGACTGGAGTGGTGTGGATTACTTGTGGATTATTGTGATGTTTTTATCAGCTGTTTGGACTCTCATTCTGACGGCACCCATTCACTGCAGAGCATCCATTGCTGAGACACTGATGCAATGCTACATTTCTCCAAATCTGATGAAGAAACAAACTCATGCATCTTGGATGGCCTGAGAGTGAGTAAATTCAGCAAATTTTAATTTTTGGGTGAACTATACCTTTAATCACATTTTTTATTTATATTGTTCTTTAACTTTGGCATTTGGTTTGTTTCTGGAGAGTGAGGTGTCTGATAGAGACTAATGCAAGATGAAACCGAATACCTGTGTGAGAGCTGCTGTCCAGCCAAATGAGAGCGGGCGAGATGTCTGAACAGCAGTGCTGTCTTCAACCTACCTCTTGTTCCTGGCTTTACACCCTCTCTGAGCATGACTTCCCGGGACAGCACCTTCAGAGACAGGAACCTCCATCCTTTTACACATGCTGGAAGCTCATCCAAGTGGCTGGAATACTGAGTGGGAGAAAAGGATGAACAGGCAACATAATAAGCATAATTGCGTCAATGAATTGGCCTGTGAATATAGTCTCAAGGGTGATTTTCACCCACCTGCATATAGTCTCTCATGCAAATCACATCTTGTGGTTTAACAGCAGCTCTGTGAAACTCATCCATTGAAATGAGATCCATAAATGCTCTGTTTCCCATCATTCTGCAGGCGTCTGCTGTGGCCTGTTGATGCAGACATAGTGTAATAATTAAAATGCATGCATTTTTTGCTCTCATAGTAAACAGTTCTTTATTTCTGCAAAAACGAGGATGCATCAGAATAAACAGATCTGATCTTTTGTTTTTTTTACTTGAAATAAAAGAAATGATAACCGGTAAAAATATTTAAATATAATATTGTAATTTTTTTTAAAACTAGTTGCCAAGGCAGCATTTCTCATTTTAATTAGTTGACTTGATAAATAACTAAAACTAAAACTGAAACTAGGATGCATCAGTATAAACTGATCTGATCCAAGACCAGCACAGGATTATTAGAGATAACTAAAACTAAAACTTACAAAAAAAATCAAATCTTTGAAATAAAATAAATTACAGAAAAAAATTAAATATAACTTTTTTACTTAAACTAGTTACAAGTCTTATTTTAATTCAGCTTAACTTGATAAACAACAAACTGAAACTGACTAAAACTGAAACTAGGATGCATCAGTATAAACTGATCTGATCCAAGACCAGCACAGGATTATTAGAGATAACTAAAACTAAAACTTACAAAAAAAATCAAATCTTTGAAATAAAATAAATTACAGAAAAAAAATTAAATATAACTTTTTTACTTAAACTAGTTACAAGTCTTATTTTAATTCAGCTTAACTTGATAAACAACAAACTGAAACTGAAAAAAAACGACTAAAATAAAATCTAGACATAAAAAAAAACTACTAAAATGACAAAAACAACCAAATTGCTAAAAATGTAACTAAATCAAAACGAAAATGTAAAATATCAAAATAAAAACTCATTCGAAATATTAATAAAAACTATACTAGTATCGCAGTGATATTGAAATAACACTGGAGCAGCATTCATGACCTGGTTGGAGGGAGAAAAGACTTTTTTGCCAGACAGATAGTGTCCTCCTCCTCCAATGTGGAAAATCTTGAAGACAACTGAGAGTGGAAACCAAGGACCTGCAAACCTGAACAGAAATGAAATAAACAGGAGACCGGGGCTAGTCGTCCCACGTTTTGTTCCAGTGAATATTTTTCAGTGTTGGTTAAGGAGCAGGGCTGTTATTGCATAATTTCTGACTTCATAGCTTCTGGACAACCTTATAATGCTGCTTGAAGAGCTTATGTATGACATTCATCTACCTGAATCTGATCTTGCACTTCAGACTGGGGTCTTTCAGGAGCTCAGCTTCTCTGGGACTGAGCTGATGCCAGACACTGTTCCTGAGACATACAAACTAACTTTATTTATTTTATTTTATTTTATTTATTTCTCATGCAGCCAAAAAAAACAAAAGAAAAACTGGCCAAAATATATTTTAAATGCCTGCTAAATATATGGTGTAAACAGTTAAGCTCAATGCAATATATTTTTACAAATTGAAATATATTATTTTAATTAAAAAATTAAAATATATTATTATTTTAAAAATTAAAATATATATTTAGTTTTAAGTTGCATATACCAAAATATATTTCAAAATGTATTTCAGGGGCAAGAAATAATAATTAATAATAATAATAATTTTTTTTATGAATATCATAATATTGTAATTTTCTTTGGAACATTGTAACATTCTTTGCTGATTTTAATTTGAATGTGTTATATGTTCACACATGTTGTTACATTTGTGGAAAACCTATGTTGTCTATATTTGAATGCATTTTCTTGGATTTAAATATATTTTATAAATATTTATATTTATTGGTAGAAAATATATTAAATATATTGTTATCTTTTAACAAATATTTTTGCCTAATGGGTTGGAGAAAATACATTCTGTTTTTCTACTTCAAAATGTCATGTTTAATTCAGCTATTAAAATTATAATTTATAAACTATAAATCATTTGTGAATTTCTGAGTGGAAACTGTTTCAAAGTCATTCCAGAGGAACTTACTGCTGAGTGTAGCGTACAGTATTCATCAGGAGTCTGAAGAGCCATCTGTCCCTAAACGATCTCCAATACGCCTGAATTCTTCTGGCATAATTCTCATAATTCTCCATTCGAAATCAGAAACAATCATTCTACACATTAGAAATGTCATTCTCAGATATTAGGCATTTGCCAAGTTTATAAAGCATCAAATGGCACTCACTTCTCCCCCAGAACAATCACATACTGTATATTTTGTATGATTGAAACAATAGATTAGTCAAAAAAGTTTAGACTGCAATACGCTTCATGGACACTGGATTAAATCACGTCTTCATTATATTTATTAATATACTACTTTTGAGTGAGACTGCTTGGGATGTAAACTGTGATGTTGACTTGTGATTGGTCTGTGTATTTATTTCATTTATTTTTATTCATTTTATTTTTAGACAAAACATGGCTTAACTTTAGGACAAGCTTAGGTGATATTTCATTATCATATATTATAGCTTTTATTAAATTTTTATATTTTCCTTTTTCATTTGATTTTTACAATTTTTAGTAATTTTTTTGTGTGTTTTTGTCATTTTGAATAGTTTAGTTTATATAGGCCTATATATATATATATATATAATTATTATTTATTTATGTATGTAT